CATGGTGGGTTAGGGGGAATTTTGGGATCAATATTTGAGGGTCTCAACTTTCCTTTAAAGTACACCTGGGGCAGTTTGAAGGTGTGATACTGTTGATGATCAATCCTGCATGACTTTAAATATACTGTGGTACCATAATTCCAAGGGTTTTGCTATAATAGGTCATGCAAGATTTTGTCCATCAACCGTGGGGATACATGACTTAGATTTTCAGCGCACGGCTACGGCTAGCCTACTTGCTTTGAGCTGTGATCAGCGTCCCACCTTGGCTATCAGACCTAGACAAGCGCCGAGTCCGATCGCACCTGCAAGTCGGGTGAAGGTGATTCCTGGAGATCTGGGATGGTTGAGCGGTTAACCTTTCTCTAATGTCCCTCAGGGTAGACCCGCCAGCCGAACCACATAGGCCTTATACGCTTGGCACGCCCCTCAACAGGTCCTTATGCATACTGCAGCGGCCTAAAACACTTCGTCTAGGAATGTTGTAAGCATCTTGCACATTATTTCACTATAAGTGTACAAGGGACAATGGGAGAACTAGACTTGATACTCATTCAGGCTTCTACATTCCCCCCCCCCCCCAACGCGAGGCCAATTCCACTTCATTTGATTATGCTGCTTCACCCTATAACCCTGATGCCCTTTTGCATCTGGGCTCATACACTTTATGCCGCAATTTAGGACCCTACACTCCTGATCCCACAACCCCTGCGGTGGATTGTGCAGATCTTGCATCACCCTCTGTACCTTAATTATACCCTGGGAACTATAGCATTACTAGTGATGCGGATTTCCTAGCCCTTAACCAACCCCTAAACCCCTGAACCCTATCATCCCCAACGTGCTTGAAGCACCTTGCCCTCCAACTCGGCTTGCACTTTGCCTCAGCATACTTACAGCAACTGAAGGCGGAGTGGGGTCGTGGATAAGGGTGTATGGTTTAAGGTTAGGGTTCAGGGTTTAGGGTAAAGGTTTAAGGTCTAGGAAGGGGGTTGTGCAAATTGAGATCTTTTGCGTCTACCCTATGTATAGTACGTCCCCAAATATATGGGGTACCAAAACGACCTTGACTTTGACAACAAGCCATACAGATTTGCTGTGAAGGGTTCATGCGGGGATTGTCATGGGCTTTGCTAATTCTAGCTTTAAAGGTGTGACTCCTCTTGAACCCTGAGTAGAGCAAAACGCGAGCGATGACCGGGCAATATCCTAGAATTGTCTCCTGTGCGTAAACTACTACTACAAATAACGCTAGGGTTTCGTAATATCCCTAATTGGCTTAAGCCATAAAAAGCCCATCAACAATTTTGAACCTCTGATCCCCATGCCATGTATCCTAACATCTCTGGCATCCCAAGGGCCCGAGGGTCCATGTCGGTCCCAACAGCCTGGTACAACCTCCATCGCCACGCAATCTATGTGACTCAGGGCCCAGCGATGCCTCTCCTGGCCGTAATCAAAAGTGTGTCCGTCTGGGACTGGGGTGTTGGAGCAATTTGGGGACGTTTGCGGGTGACTTCTGCAAATGCATCAAGTGTAGACTGAGTCGCAATTCCAGAAAGGGATCTCAGCTTGCTGCTGATGTCTGCCTGATTCCGACTTCTATGACCTCGTACGGTAGAACCTGCAGAAAATCGGCGAAGAAATGGTTCGCTTTCGTTTTCGACACAGCACAGCATAGCATGCTGTGCTACAGCGACTGTAAGACGTCTGTTCTCCAACTGGGGAAGCATGTTCGGTTGCAACCACTGAGCGGCTGCCACATTGCCGACAAGCCTCCAGCATGGGATCTGGAAAGCAACGCATACGTTGACGAGCATCTCGAGCTAAAGCCCGTGGCCAAGATATTGTTTGAAAGATAAAGTTTGAATTAAGGGGGTCAGCATGCTACTAGCACTCGGCTGATACATGCGACCGTGCTGCAGGAGCGGCAGCTGCCTAAATTTCACGCATTCACAGTTTAGATTTTAATTACCACACAGGCAGCTGCAACTCAGCATCAAAATTGCATAGGTCATGAGAGCTGAGAACGGCTTTGGACCAGCTCCACAACTGCCTCGAGCTATCCTTGTAAAAGCTGTCATGTGGCGCCTGCACTTTTTGCAGATGACATCAGAATCCACCACCTACTCAATCATCATCCTTACGCCGGCGTCGGCGGCGACTGTTGTCATCGTCGTCACCTTTCCGACGGCGACGGCTACCATCATCATCCTGTGAAGTTGCTGCACGCTGAAAGAATTGTGCAAAGCAAGATAAGCTTGCAGAAGGGCGATGGAAACGTGTCCCCGCTACCCTTAACCCCTTCCTTCGTGCAGTGTATAACAGACAGAAAACTTGATACGTAGTCGGACATGATCAAGCCACTAGTTTTTGTGGTCACGGCTCATTATAGCCATCACTGAGGTGCTAGCGAAGAGGAATCGCCCTGCCCGCATCCA